TCACTTGCCAAGGCCACTGATGGCCATGTCCACCAGGAACCAGGGACTCAAATTCTGTGACAGGCCATGCCCCTTACTTCCTACAACACACAATTTGACACCCCTGATCAAACAATTACAAATAATTCAAATATGATCTAGTGGTAGTCTCCCCTTCTTATATGAAATATATATAATAATTTTTAAAGGTAATCCCAATAGTGGGATTAACAATAGGGTCTGGTATGCAAGAGGAAACTGAAACTTCTCTGACAAGGATGGTCAGTCTGCCCCCTGAACTGGAATAGAAGAGTTTAAATGACACAAGGAAAACCAAAACTGAAAGCATTCACTCATTCTCAGCAAGTCTCAACTTTCCAGTGCTGCTATGAATAGTTTTGTCCTGGTTACACTAGCAAACAAACTGTTTTCAAGGGTAGTTCAGTGGGCACTACAGCTGTCAATATTAGCAATGAGTGTTCTAGTTTGTGTGGATTCAATCCCTTAATTTAAGTTTGCTTATTCTAAATGATTTATCTGGGAATTCTTAAGCAGCACATAAAAGGTGCATTTGGGAGGGAAGATGTGCAGTTTTTTGACATCTCTTAGAATTCTAGCTTAAAAGGGAACATTTTACAACCTTCACAGTTGCTGAAAATATTCTTGAAATTTTGTTACTAAAATTCACCGTTAATCTACACTAGTCTCAGTGTCACCAAGGTAAACTTATGAATTTAACTACAGGCTCCTTGCCTTTTGTTTGCCTTTTGTCATACTGTGCTTTCATCAATACAGCTCCATAGTTCAGCCCTTGATACAGGCTTCCATATCTCACTACCTATTACACAGCTAGCGCTCACAAAGATAACTAAATCTTGTATTAACTGAATAAACAGTATGGCAGAGACCAGCCACCACAGTAATTTAAGAAAGGAAATGAAAAGAAAAGTTTGGGCTGGAGATTCAGATGAATGGCAAAGAAGTATGCGTTTAGATTTGAAATTTGGACAATACGACTCATGAACCAAATGAAAATCACAGAAGTGACAGCATTACAGCTTATAAAAGAGCTTTACACCCCAACTTAGTTCATACGCCCACAGCCTTCGGAGCTACTACAACTAAATTTTCAGCTTTAAACCAACTCTGCTATAGCAACCCCTTGCTCCACTACAGATATATGTAGAGGGCAGTGGATAAAATGGACACTTTAAACACACAAAAGAAAATAAAATTGCTGAATAAGTTAAATTGTATTTCCTTTCCCCACCCCTCTTTATAGCATTGACCCTAAACATTTGGAAAACCTTAAGGCAGAAGGATGCATATTAAAGAAATTTCTAAAATTCCAGGTCAATGTTAACAGATATCAAAGGAGAGTCCAGAGGCTTGATAAGAAATAAGTGGCTTGTTATTAATCATTCATCCACAGACTTCAAATTTCATTGTCTGAGAAAGTAAACAGGCCTGTCTAGTTTCAAACTGTGATTTCATTCTCTCAGTGAAATTAAAATGAAATATTGTTGCTGTTCTGTTCTGGTTCTGTCTCTGCACTGTTTTTCTGTTTTGTATTATTGTACCTGGATCTCACATTTATTCCTCTATTATTAAATGTCTGAATCAAATGATCTAAAGTTTGTCCTTGCTTTAAAATTAATTTAAGTAATTTAAAATGTGATAGCTGCACCAATCTGAGACTATCTGTGTAAAGTTGAAGAGTAGAAAAGTGAATTTATATTGCATCACTGTCAATCAAATGTTTCAAGGTATTAAAAACATGCAAAGCTTGGTTGCTGTAGCCTGGTGAATCTGACACCCAAGGGGCGCTTTAAAAACAGTTTTTCTGGTCCTTTGCTCACAAAGGCAGAACTTTTTACTACTTCAAATTTGCAATCCCTGAGGAGGTTGAGACACAAGGGGTCAAAATCCATCATAGCATTTTTAGCTTTTTCTTTGATTACCGTTGAGAGGTTTTGCCAGAAACCTTACTCACAATGGCAATTACTTATTTCATGAAATATGTGCCTACAGTTCTACATGCTTTGATCTCAGTGAAACTGCCCATATCAGGATTTGGCTCTCAAACTGTCCATATCAGGATTTGGCTTTCTGCAATATTTTCTGTGCGCGACAGCAAAGAAACCAGTTTTTATCATTGTCTTCTGTGCTTTGGTCTGACTTGTAACCAACCCCATCTTCATATAACTCACAGCTGTCTTAAATAAGAATCTGCAAAAGTTTCCACCATCTTTTGGAATTTGAAGAGAATATTTTCAAAACAAATTTGAGCTTTTTAAAATATAGATAACTTCTAAAATCCACAATAGAAAGCTTATGGTTCTATGGCTGATACAGAGCACAAGATGAGGAGTATCTCATCTAAATATGGCCTTAGCACACTTAACCCCCCCCCACCCCACAAAAAAGTCACCGTGTTCATTTCTACACCACCTACATATTGACCAGATTTTCAGTTCTGTTGTTTTGATGCCCACAACAGTTTTTCCCCCATAAAATGATCAGCTATTTCAGATTCCAGCTTTATAATGTCCAAGAACAGATTTTCCCTGCCTAAACAAACCTGATGCATTGCAACTCTTGCTCAATGGATCTATCATTAAGTCTCAAATCTAACTTTATGTCTGAGTAGTGCTGTTTTATCAGTGATGCTCCAGGGATAAAAGAAGCAGGATACCTGTTATTCAACCAACTTGCACAGTTGAGAGAGAGAGCAAATAAGATTTTGGACCTGATGAAGGGCACACAAAGCCCAAAAGTCTGTCTCTGTCCCTTCTCATTACAGGAGTTAGTCCATTATTAATTCAGTATAAAATTTTAGATACTCTCTTATGAAGGCTTTCACTTCCCAGGTGTAAACAGATTCTGAACCAAGATTAATGCTATCTTTAGTCTGTAAATTGTGGGTGGTATTTTGAAATTTCAAAAAGTGAAATATTTAGCTACCACATATATACCATCAAGGTGATAGAAGCTAAGATCAAAACTGGTTCTATTTTATGGAGCAATCTTGTGCTAAAAGCTTTTTGTATGCAAAGGACAAGATTTTGTGCTGCATGTTATATTATAGGGTTTTGAAAGCACTTAAGAATGGGTTTACTGATTTGCAAGGAAAAACACTGCATACCATACATCCCCAAATAAGACACATGCCTTGTTTTGGAAGGCAGAATGTAGGAAAAAAAGATTTTTCCAGTCACAACCTAGATTTAGCTTTTGCATGGAGAAGCAGTGTTGCAAGATAGCTGCCAGCTTCTCTCTCAGGCAACAAGCAAGACGGGTAGCATACAGTGTTAATCTTTTCCCAGACACTCTCAAGTATGAAACAGGTTTTGGCTGGGTAAGAGTTAATGTTGGATAGCATAATTGCTGCTTGCTGCCAGACAGAGAAGCTGGAGGCCATCTTGTAGCATTACCTTTCCATGCTTCTATTCTAGGGAAGGAAAATCAGCTTCCACACTTAAGACATGCATCCCAATACTGAAGGGTAGATTTTTGGAAAAACAGTATGCATGATAAACGCAGTACTTGTTCCAAGTCTGCTAATGTACTGGAGGACTAGTGTATAGTAAATGTTGAAACTTTAATTTTGAGAAGGTACAAGAGCAAATCAGGAAATTACCAATAGAAAGCCTTACTCTCGTTGACACAGTGAGACTCAGAACACCTATATCACAATGCAAGGTCTAACCAATACAGCTAATGCATAACAAAATACTGACAAATGAGAATACCACTTGATTACCACAAAAACAAGAGAAAGATATAAAGTCTTAAAGCAAATAAAAAGAGCCATATAATCAGGCAACCAGTGGTGCACAGGACTATGTACAAGGACAAAGATTAGAAAGTTAACACTTGACAATATTTCCTTGGAGATGTTTGCAATGTACGTCAATGTTTGTGCCACAGGTTTGCTGGAAGGAGTCTCAGATAACAACTATCTTGTCTATCAGAGATGGAATTATAGGTTAAGACCAGCGGTGCTTAACGTTTTGGCTCTATGGGACACAAGTGGGATGGGGTGGGGCTGGTCCATTGGCTGGATTGAGCCCTGGCCTCAGCACCACCCCTTTCCTTGCCCTGAGTGGGCCCTGTGACCAAGCACCACCTCCTCCTGCCCCTGTGTGCCTGGACTGGTCTTCAGGGGCCCAATGCCATCCTCTACCACCAGAAT